AAACTCTATTATTACTGAACTTAATCGTGTGTACATTCACCACCGCAATAGATTTCATTGGTCACCATGCAAATTTAATGTTGAATGTATTGAATTTGTACATTACCAGTGGTAAAACTATGTTGATATCGCTGTTCTGGGTCAGTATCACTGAGTATTATATCCTAATAAAAATATTTTTAAATAAACATATAAGTACTTCCTACAAGCCTACATACAATATAATAACAAAATACTTTGAATAATTTCATTTTAGAAATGCTTATGATAACGATGATGATGATGATGATGATGATGATGATGACGATAATAATAATAAGCTATAGGGATTTAGGCCTATAACGTACTTCGCCGAGGAATACCAAGGGGTTTGCGATGTTATTACCCCTGGATGGATAACTTCATTGAAGCGATTGATATGATCTGGAGGGGGGACTATGAGAGGGGAAAAGGAAATTATTTCCTTGTCCCCCATAGCGCCGCCATTACAGTTTGAATATGAAGGTTGCGTAACAGGAAGCCAGTGTTCATGATCCATGAAAGCAGTAATATTCATACACAGTCTTATGACCTCTTTCCCGCTTGGTATTTACTTTAGTCATGCATAGACTAAATCCCACCAAGGGACCAATTACCAAAATTATGCGCACGGATAAAGGGAGACAAACGTTGATTTATGTTTTTAATTAATAGATTTTACATAATGAATGACGTTCTGTAATGGGCAGCGTGGGATTTGAACCTTAAGCCTCTCAGCGGAGTCAAAATCTGCGTCAACTACCCCAGCAAAGAGTGGTGGGGTGGTTGGCGCAGCGTTTGCGTTTCGGGCTCTCCGCCTGAGGTCTGGGGTTCCCCGCCCTGCAGGTTGCTTATACTCTTGGGCAAGACACATACCTACGGTTTCTAATTCAGAAGTATGTTTTACTGATTACTAGTGGCAACATTATGGAATTTTCGAGGAGTTAGGCCCTTTGAAAAGGTAGGTCTATGAAGAGATAGGCCTATGAAGGGGTAGGCCTAGGAAAATGTAGGCATAGTAAGTTAACATTTTACTTTTAAAGGCCTGTCCAGATTATCAAATTTTCTTTGACCAAAAACTGTTGTGTCTATATATAGCCATCATGTTCCTACATATGGTCATGTTGTGATGTCATCATGACCATATTTAGGTATATCACATGTTTTTGTCAAATAAAATTTGATAGTATGGACAGGGCTGGTTATTTTTGTCTAATGACCTTTTAATGACCTTTTAATGACTTTTAATGACCTTTTAATACATGTTTTTGCCTCATTACCTACACATCTATTTATATTGTGTACTTTACAGTTGTAAACTCCACATGGGCCTATTGTCCAATGTATGATGCACTATCTTCAGGATGTTTTCATTCCTTCTTATCATTGGGGATTGATTTTCCGACGTTTTAAACTAGCATCTCTCCATATCCTTTTTCTTAATTTAGGTTACCGTTCTGACGCAAGGATCCATCTCTGAATTCATCTTTTTTTTCATCTCTTCGGCAAAAGGCCTGTTTACACTATGACGATAACGGTCAAAAAATAAAATGCTACAAAGCAATTGTTCATACACGTTTTTACTACTACGATTTTATCGTATGATTATAATGTCATTTGATTGATAACATCGTTATCGAATCGTGGTAGTGTAAAAACTTCTCTTCTTTCTTATATTTTCTATGTGTAAACAGACCTTAACAATCTCATCACCAGCATATCGACAGTTAGCTTCTATGATTTTCAACAAAGTAAGATATTGAGATTTTTTCCTTTCATTTCTACTGAGCCCTTTTTCGTACACGTTTTTGTTTTGTCAGTGTCTGCTCCATAGATCATTATCGGCTCATGGTGTTGTAAACTTTGCATCTTTTATGCATTTTACATGTACTCATTACCACATGTAACCTCTTCGTGTCCAAATACGTATATTCTGTTAAACATCATTGAAAATAAATTGAAATTTACGCTTATTACAGGTATATTACGTTAATATCAATTTAAACACAATTAGACTACTAGTCACGTGGTGGGATTAACATTAACAGTCGTATGGACTTAGAAGATTATAACTGACAGATGGTGGGTTGTAACTATGGTTACAAAATGAAATATTGTTACGACAATCAGAAAACTGTTTGTAGCCAATGTAAGTACAAAATCACATCCTAGTAATTGTATTAGTAATCGAATTATGATAATAATATATTATTGACGATAATAATACTAATTTATAATGAACGCTAATAATACTAATAATGATAATAAATAAATATAAGCCTACTAATATAAAATGAATAAAAATGGAATAATAATATTATTCATCATAGTATTATCAAGGATAAACCCAAATAAAATATTGATAGTACAAAATGATGATGATGACTCGAAGATGATAATAACAATTGTCATTATCGTTTTTCATTTTTTCGACATGTCATTCATTGCTTCTTATAGACCTGTATGTTTCAACACACTAGGCCTACATATAGGCCTATTTATTGTATCAACTATTCATACTTTTTCTGAGGTAGATATTTTCTTTTTCTGATAACGATGGGTAATAAATTCAGCCCTACAATTTCGCCATAACTGCAAAAGTTAAAATAGAAACCAAACTTTGAAATGGGAAAGTTGGATTTATATATTTCATATGAGCCTATAGAGACATTAATAACTAGGTCATTTGGCTCGAGTTCGATAACAGGTAATTTCAAACCGCTTAAATCCACCCTTTGTATCGAATTTAATATTTTCAATGTTATACTTTACCCTAGATTATTGTATTGATTTCATTGATAGCCATATTCAAAAATTAGCTTCAGATAACATTATAGTTCCAGTATCTTGTGTTTTTACTTTGATTTTTCTGTGTGTGATTTGCATATAGGTCATTGATTATAAATCTTGGGAAAGAAATTAGGCAATGCGACTCAAGACTTACATTCGTTACTAATCGTTAACGATATGATTTAGTAAGCAATGATTAACCTCGCCAATGATTGCATGATTACCATCGACGTCACATTTGCCCTTTAGTAATAACGTCATTTTCCAAATGTCTAATTAGCCATAATAAAAAATGATCACCCTTGTCTCAACAGCAATGATATCTAAGACTAGAAAGTTCTTCCCAGTATGTGGGACAACGCCCAACGCAACCACCTCATATTCCAAGTAACATGACATGGAGAGAAGAAGCTTCTTTCCTCCATGGTTTAAGAATCTTATGATACTCGGAAGGTGCACCATAGTAAAATACTTTAAATTAGTGCAGAACACAGCTGTTTTCTAAAGAATGATGTTAAACATGTGAAGGAATCGTAGTCTACACACCGTCTGGACGAGTTGTAAATCAACACAAAGCTTAATAATAATAACAATAATAATAATAATAATAATAATAATAATGATAATGATGACAATAATAATAATAATAATAATGATAATAATAATAATAATAATAATAATGACAATAACAATAACAATAATAATAATAACAATAAAAATAATAACAAAAATAATAATAATATTATTATATAATAATGATAATAATAATATTATTATAATAATGATAATGATAATAATAACAAACAACAACAATAATAATAATAATATTAATAATAATAATAATTATTATTATTATTATTATTAATATTATCATTATTATTATTATAAGAATTATAATACTGATAATAATAATAAAAATATTAATAATAATTGATAACAATGATAATGATAAAATAATTATTATAATGACGATGATGATAATGCATTGGTGACGACGACGATGACAACAATAATGACGATGATGATGATTATTCCTATGACAATGATAATGATTATATTAATAATTATTATTATTATTAGTATAAAAGTATTACATCGGTGAAGGTAGACACAAACTACATGTACAGATGTAAACATACAATGTAAACACTTGACTACAAAAATAAAAACAGCATGAATAAATTAGTAGGCAAAAATACAAATATCTACTTCTATCTTATGCAAGTTGAACATATCTTTTTAAGAATATCAAAGGCTGATATAAAATCATCATTAATCATTTAGGTAATAATTATTTCCTCTGAGAACATGGTAAAAATTACATTCAATATAAAAAATGTAGAAAGTATTACAATTTCTCCATGGATATTTCAGTCACGAATAACATGGTTACGTTTTAAATCGGATGTTTAATTCGATTAATGCTTTTTATTTAAATTTAAATAAAAGAGTCGTGGTCACCGCTGTAGCACTGACTACAACAAACCAATTATACTTTCTACTATTCACAAAATCAAAGAAATAACGTTATTGAATTGCTTTCCGCATCGTCTCGCTAATTATCAACGAAAGAGTCGAATGGCCGAGTGGTAAGGCAGGGGCACCTCTTACTACAGCCTTAAACATCGGCGCTAGTTCCAGCCGCTCCTCGCCAGGGGTTCGGTTGGTAGAACCATATAAGAACGCAATTCAGCACAATTGCGCTGCGAATTATGGGTTATTCTCCTAACTTTTACCTTTGAAAGTTCCACAGTTATTTGCAGAAGTTTCTGCAATTATTGTAAACTTTGTTTAATGGAAATAACCACTAATTGTTCGACCTGCTTTCGCTTTTCACTTCATAAGTATTATGTTTTGTTAACAAGTATATGATGATAATTAAAGTATGATGAATCCATAATATTAAAATAAATATCAAATATGTGTTCATATTGACAGTAAACGCTACCATTTATTATATTATCATAAATTAAGCGTTTTATGATAAAATCAAACCGGATAAACAATATAATGTAAGCCTAATATATCGAAACAGATTATTCATCACATTATATTATAAAACTGATCAATGCCTAATAGATTTATTGAAAATTGTTAAAGGTTTTATGACCCTCTATCTTAACCACCCACTCTGATGCACCGCATTATAATTTTTAATGTTACCAATAAAAGACAGAAATACGAATACTTACAACAGACTGTAATAGATCTATTCCTACATTCTCATCTGTATACGATATCTTTGAAATGATAATGACTTAAGTGATATTTATTGTTCATCAGAGTCTCTGCTGATTTATGGAAATCAGGATGCTTAACTGCGCATGTGCAGTGACCCACACTGAATAGATAGATATAAAACAAGTTCGGACAGACTTTCTGCCTAAAGTTAGTTTCAAATAATGAGGTAACATTAACTTGGCAATGAAATAAATACATATACAAACATTAACTATAGACAGACTAAACAAATATCAACACTTAGACATATTTTTTGACATGACATCGAATCTTGCAAGAAAAACTTCTCGTCTGAAAGGTACTTAAAACTGGTACGCAAGGGAAACAATAACAGCGGCAACTTGAAATCCAATATTCACAATTTCATAGGGGAATAATGTTTATATGGAAATAAAAATATGAAACATGGGAGCCGTGAAAAAGCAAATGAGTTTACAATATTGAAAGGTTGCGACGACCATGAAACTTTTCGATTTCTTTTTTGTATTCGACATCATGCAAGTCATCGTTATAAACGTTTATTACCCGGGATTTATAATCACATGTGTTATTTATTGCACTTTGTTTATCCACCATTTTCCATTAATTATCTTTAAATCACGTACATGGTACCTAGCATTTTAAGCCTAGGCACACATTGCGCGTACTCATTAATGTTTTTTTTTTTTGTTTTTTTTTCTTCTTTTTTTTGTAATTATTCCCTTGTTCATACTGCTAAACTTCAAACACAAGATGATTGACAGAAACACAAGCCGTATTCCACCATTGTCCCATTTCGCCAAAGAAGTTGCTGCGTCGAGACTTTCATGAAGTCAGACGGCGTGAATCAACATAAACGTTTGCGTACATTAACGCTTATTTGATACTAAATCGATGTAGACGTGTCACCAACATTTTCAGTGCAAATCACTTGAATTTAGGCAAGTACTAACCATAGGACTACAAACTTTTCATCTACAAAACATGAGTATATCAATTTAGTGTTAACATTGATTTACTTAGAAGTAATAACATGAACATCTTCATAATATTCAATATATTATTTTTCATAATGTCTTTTCAATGCTTTGGAATGGCTTTAATCACGCACAGATTATTATTTAATCAGTTTGAATTACAATTTAATTTTTGTAATAGCTCGTTTGATGTTAAAGATCTTTTATTTTTAACAATATCCTTAATACAAACGATACCACTTTTAATACAATGCTTATAATACAGAGATCTGATTTTTTTTAAAGTATTAGATGCTTACCCCATAATTTTTTCGTTAATAATATTTCTTGGGTACGGCTGTATGGAAGTAGGTTTATAGGAAGCTCGAGGAAAAAACATAATTTAACATTTTTAATAAACGGATTATAACATGACGTGTTGAAAAAACATTTGTGTGGAATGCAAATCATCGCAACATTCCTAAATACTTTTCCTATATTTATATATAGCTACGTTACATAGCGTAACCGAGTTATTTTAGTAATATATAGTAGCAAAAACCAATTACCCAATCAACTCAATCAGTCAAACGACCAACCTATTAATACATACATCACAGCATGTATAGCGCTATTATATGAAGATCAGAGCGCTCAAAGCGTAGACTACAGTAGTAGCGTATCAATAACTTGCTTCTCCGCTAAGGGCCTCTTCGTGTCTGCCGGTACCAGGTCTTGTCTGTCTTCACAACAGGAGCTGTATTGGCCAGTAAACTGGGGTATTAACCCCCTACTCTTCTGAGTTCTAGTACACTGGGCCTATGGTTGATAGTATTTATCAAAGAAGACTTGTTCCAATGTCAACCATAGGCGAGTGTGCCGTTCGAACCAGTGCCGGTGGCTGTATGTTGCGGCGCCCCTGCCTTAACCGCTCGGCCATTCAGTTAGTCAACCAATCAATCGATCATTCAATCAATGAATTAAAGCCAACCAACCAATCGATTAATTACAAGGTCATTTAAACAAGCGCATGTGAAACACATACTCAGCGCCCTGGGGAGAATTCCATAATGTTGTAGCTGTAAAAAAGTAATCAGCGTATTTTGTGTTTGAGCCTACCAGATACCCATTTGTACTCCTGGATGTAGAGACAACCCTAGGTAAGGTGCCTTGCCTAAGAACATGAGAAAAATGCACAGGGAGGGATTGAACCTTCGACCTCAAGTTTGAGTAGCAGAACCGCTCCTAGAAATTTTAGTAGTTAACAGTTTCTGTATACGCTAATTATTTAACGACTACTACACTAAACCATAGGGTATGTAACTAAACATTCATTAGATTACAGTGTAGGAGAATTATAGTATATAGGATTATTTTTAGAAAGCTAGTTGTAAAGTAGAATTGAAAAAAAAAATCGTGTAAAGTATGTCCATGACCTTCCTATGATTTTGGAAGTATTTTATGAATATATCAGGGGTTGAATTGTAAGTATTTATGAATATATCAGGGGCATACATCATCTCCTTAACAATTTCTTGAAGGAAAACACCTTTAACGATGTGTGTAATTTTCCAAACGATTAAAAATGTACATGTATTCAATTTTTCATCGAACATGTTTGCATTATCTTAATACTATATCCAATTTGCAGCTATGCCTTGCCAGGATATACGAAACAATCAATTCTGTTTGTCATTAAAGGGACTCGGTGGACCACATCGCACTGTTCTGATCACGATAATCACGAGAGAAATTAACATTATGCATTCGTTTTTGCACCTTCTATGTGCTGAGACGACAAATAGAAATACAGTACATCTTCTGCAAGACTGGAATATTTGCGCTTACATAATAATACAATCATGTTTTCCATTCAGTTACTTCATGATAATGTAATAGTACTATGAATATTATCAGTACACAAAACACTAATGAATTAACATCCTTTGCCAATGTATTCATTTATTTTTAATAAAAGTAAATGAATATTCATGTATATGGCCGTGTTACTTAATGTTGAATAATATGCAAGCAATATTTTGAACAGGAAACGGCTATTATGTGCTGACCGTAAGACGACTTCAACATAACTGACAAAATATTAGCCAATCAGACAATATAATATATATATATACATATATATATACATATACATACATATATACATATATATATATACATATATATATACATATATACATATATATACATATATATATACATACATACATATATATACATACATATATAGGCCTATATGTATATATATATATATATATATATATATATAGGCCTATATATATGACAGCGAGATATATATGACAGCGAGAGTTCGCAGGTTCGATTCCCGTCAGAGACATTTTATTACACAATTTTTTTTTATTCGTTTAATTATAGGACTGAGCTATGTTGTCTCAGATATTAGGCGACCGTCCAGTGTATGCTTTAACAATTCAGTAAACGTTCTCACAATCCAGTGTACGCGCTCACAATCAGGAACTCGGAAGATCCTTCGAGAAGAACAAGGTTAACCTATAATTTAGGGCTACCTTAGTTCCTGTTTACGAGACGTTCTTTGGCTATGGTTAATAACGTTACATAAATGGACACTTTACGGATTGTTCACAGTTGTAGGAAGACGTTCGTTTGAGCGCTTCGTAACCATAAAAGGAGAGAGCAATTAGGTAATCATTGCAAGTCAGGGTTGGCGCCAGGATTTGCCCGATGGGGGGTCCGAGGTCTCCGACAAAGGAAGGGAAGATGTCCCTGCTCCCCCTTCCCCTACACACACCCATTGTATCCACCCCTGTTACAAATTAAATAACAAGTCAGTTCCGCATTAAACTGCACACACTCTACTTTATGTCATGAACCAAATGGATCCTTCCCAGATTGTAAAATTTACCATTCAGAACAGCAACGCACGTGTTACGTTGTACGTTTACGCTGTCGTTTTTGGACGTTAACAACGATATTCAAGGGGCGGAGTTTAGAGGAAAGGTCGGCCATTATTCGTTGTATTGTAAACAGAAAAAGATAAAAAACAAAAAGACAAATAGAAAACGTTCCAACATCTAGCCTCTCCCATCAGTAACATCATGTACTAATATTATACTTTACCAATTGACGCCTAACAAGCACAGTAGAAATAATGTTACAAAAACATCTAGGAAGTGTGTCCGTTCCCATAGCAACGGGCTCAGCCAACGTGTATGAGTTATAGATGTGTGAACATTATAACGTCTTCTCTACATCTTATAAGCGCTGTTTTTCTGTCCGTAGAAATGAGAATTCGATATTACTGGGGACTTAAATATATATTATGTTGAAACAATTAGGCCTATTGCATATTTCTCTAGATAGGCCCATATTTTGATACAGAATAGAAGTTTACTCTAGGCCTATATATCTCGTCAGCTTTTTGTGTATAATGTTTCTGGAAACTCTTAAACCATGATATAAATGGGAGTGCTAGTACAGGAGCAGTGGTTGGGCCTCTAAATCGTGAGGTTAGGGAATTAATTAAGTTCTCTATTGAAAAACGAAGATATCTCTATTTACAATTAAATGACTACTCGGCTCGTCATAAATGAAAGAATGGTCAATGGTCATGCATTTGTTACGAAATAGAACATCAATATCAATAGGCCTATCATATTTGTTAAACACGGTGGGTTAAATTTGTATTACAATAGACGGTTCCGTCGTATGTTGCCACCCCCCCCCCCACCTTGAATACTCTTGCTAAGGTCCCATAAAATGTCAGCTAAACGTACGCATGCATTGTGGGACAACGTGTGTGTTAGTGGGACAGACGCGTATTTATGGTCCTGTTGATTGGTCCGTTGTTGAGTTACGTTGGAACATCCGGAAAAGTCTACTAGTTTCACACTCGCACATAGAACTCAAATGTACGAAGCGAATTAACGGCCAGCGTAGCTAAGTCGATTGAAATTTATAATTATTGTTTTTACATTTGAATAAGGGCCAGAGGCCTCTACTTCAATAAAGTCTACATCTAGGAGAGAGATACGTAACATCAATCTGCATCATGGAGCGTATTTAACTG